CCACGAGCACACCGGAAGTCACTTCCGGTTTGCTGGTAGGGTTGGTTTAAGCCCCCCGGAGGCTTCAGGGACCTTTAGGAGGCTTCCCTGAAGCCTCCAAAGGGCAAAAAGCGCCCCACGAGCACACCGGAAGTCACTTCCGGTTTGCTGGTAGGGTTGGTTTAAGCCCCCCGGAGGCTTCAGGGACCTTTAGGAGGCTTCCCTGAAGCCTCCAAAGGGCAAAAAGCGCCCCACGAGCACACCGGAAGTCACTTCCGGTTTGCTGGTAGGGTTGGTTTAAGCCCCCCGGAGGCTTCAGGGACCTTTAGGAGGCTTCCCTGAAGCCTCCAAAGGGCAAAAAGCGCCCCACGAGCACACCGGAAGTCACTTCCGGTTTGCTGGTAGGGTTGGTTTAAGCCCCCCGGAGGCTTCAGGGACCTTCAGGACCTTCCCTAAAGCCTCCGGAGGACTTAAACCAACCCTACCAGCAAACCGGAAGTGACTTCCGGTGTGCTCGTGGGGCGCTTTTTGCCCTTTGGAGGCTTCAGGGAAGCCTCCTAAAGGTCCCTGAAGCCTCCGGAGGGCCTCCGGGAGGGCGGGGGAGGCTGTTTTCGCCTTCCCCAGGCTCCTATAAAGCCTCTGGAGCCTGGGGAGGGAGAAAAAAACATGCAAAAATGGGGGGGGGAGAGCACCTCTCATGCGCACATGCGCACTGGGGGTTGCGCATTGCATTATGGGTGCGGTACGCCCGCGCATGGCCCCCTGTGCTACCCCCACTTATGGCACGCGAGCCAAAAAATGGTTTGCCATCACTGGTTTAGACTATCCCCTTAATACTATTAAAATTGTTGAGGTAATTCAAAGAGACTAGTCAGAGTTGTCTATTAAACTCCATGGTTGCCTAAAGACTGAATCAAGTAAGACTAGCATTAATAAGATGTGTAAGAATTGCCAACACTCTTGCAGTCTTCAAATGTAAGTACAATGTACGATTTTAGCATACTGTAAGATGTGAATAGACATTAGCCCACATTAAGGCATTTTTAAAAACCCAGACGGACACAAAGTAGATAAGGGCCCTATATTCTTTCCTCATCAATATCTGGCCATCAGTTAACTCTAGTTGCTCCTGGTACTTCTACACTAAGGAAAGATATGAAGATTCATTCTAGATACGTTTAGCTGAACACATTTAGAAAGCATCATGTCTCTGGAATACGGTATAATATTCATGGGGTATAAGCCAGGGGTGAAATTCAATTTATTTTTTACTATCGGTTCTGGGGGCGTGGCTTGGTGGGCGTGGCAGGGGAAGGATACTGCAAAATCTCCATTCGCACCCCACTCCGGGGAAGGATATTGCAAAATCCCCATTCCTACTCCACTCTGTGGAGGTGGCATTTGCCAGTTCCCTGAACTACTCAAAATTTCTGCTATCAGTTCTCCAGAACCTAAGAACCTGCTGAATTTCACCCCTGCTAAAAGCCTTGGCTATTTATCCAAGTCGTTATATAGCTGTTACTTTAATTAGTGTTGAAAAGATCCATGTTCAAATCCTTAATCAGTCATGAAAGTCATGGGAAAGTATAGTTCATAGTCCAGTACACATTATTGATTCAGTTTGTCCTTATTTTATAAAAAAGTGTCAGTTTTTCTTCGCAGTCCAAACCTGGATATCAACCATCTGGAGAATCTGATAAAGAGAACAAGGTTCTGGAGCGTCCTGTTAGTGCATCATCCAGTAGCGATATGTCTCTCTCTGAGCCTCCTCATTCTCTTGTAAGGTAAGAAAGTAAGAATGCATTCAGGGCTAGGAAAATAGAACACACTAAATATCAGAAATAATGGTTTTATATATGACTTAGCTATACGGCTTTTATAGCAGCTGAGAATATTGAAATATTTTTCTAAACCTTTTGAAAATATATTTATTAAAATTCAATGTTCATAAAATTCTTTTAATATGTCATGAAAAGCAAGATGCCACTTCATGAGTTATTAGAAATGAAGAACAATTCCTTCTGTATATTCATAGCTATATCTGTACCAAGATTCTTCAGGAATGCAAATGAAAAGTGCTAGATTATATTGTACGAAGAATTTACATTCAGTTTAAAACATTCAAATTTGGGGCCAGTAATAAGTTTAATGTTTAGCTACTCTACTGTTGTTAAACTGTATTTAAATGTTAAATTCATGTATAGGATGTTAGTGGTCTTATTGGTAGATGGAGCGTTTAGTTAGTTGGGCAGGAAGGCTGAAGAGGAAAACAAGAACCTAATAATCCTCAAGTCTATTTGAGAGTCTTTACAGTTGGGATGAACTATTTGTATCTCTCAAAAATCTTTTCCAAAGACCCCTTAAACTATAGTACCAAATATCAATTTCCCATCATTTTTAGATAAGTGAAAAATAGAGTATCAATAAAAACCAAATCCAGGAACTTCCTTGCCAAAAGAACAACTAATCAACAATCCACATAATTTTTATTGTCCTCTTCATTGAAGTCATTCCTCCAAAATATCTCTACCCTTGGCCACCGGAGGTTTATCAATTCTTAGTACTGGTGATTATTTTATAATTAAATGTCTAAGATTTATTGCTGTAAATTGATGACAATTCAATGGATTATTTTCAGGGATAGTACACTGGAGCCTTTAAGGATTCATCCAGGGAAGCTGAGTTCAACAGCACAGGTTCCTTGCTCAAAATCTGTTTCGAATGGAGCTCTCTTCTCTGAGCTTTTGTTTTTGGATAACGTGGATGTCTTGCAGAAGGATTTTGAATCATCAAGCAGAAGGAGTCATAACACAGCTATCGGATCCATGTCTTCAACTCCTCAGCCGTTTACGTCCTCTACTGTACAACCCACCATTAATCATTATAAAAATAGATTGGACCGAATTGAAGCCCTAAAGGCAACTGCAGCCTCTCTTTCAAATAGAATTGAAAGTGAAGCCAAAAAAATAGGTGGGCCTGGCATTAACTATGAACCAGCATGCGATACTGGACATGACTTGTTGCAAAGGGATCAAGGCGATGATACCTGCTGGGTGAAAGCCAGCAGCTCTCCTGTGAGAGAAGATGATGTCTTTTCAGCTACGCTTCAGAAAATGTTGGCAACCTGCAATTCACATACAACTTTTGATGGTAACCTTCCTGGAATGGAAAATTTTAATGAGTTTAAAACGCTCCCAAAGTCTATTAGTCCTTATACAGTTGCTCTCGGTCTTCCAGGCAATAATATATCTGAAGGAATATTAGGAAATCTGTCTCAAAAGCAAACATGCTCTGCTGAAAATAAACCTGAAGTTCTGAATGGTAGTGTGGGCTCCATAAGTGATGGTCTTCTCTCTGAGGAAGAAGGTGAAAACCCTAATAATCCATCTTTGACGGTTGCTGAGGCATTAAACGAAAGCGAGTTCTGCGTTGCAGATGTAACTGGTTTTGAAGCTCTAAAAGAATTCCAGAAGGAGGCAGAAAATTATTTACCTATTTTAACAGACATTAGGAGCGCTTCAAAAAAACCATGGGAAGAACTTGCCAAGGGAAGTCCACATAGCGTGATAAACATCTTTGCAAAATCTTACCAGATGTCTGGGAAAGGTGAGCAAACACGAACCTTTTGATATCTCTGATATATTGTTAGGTAAATAATTAAAGGAATGTTTCTTGAAATCGCATGTTTCTTGACATCAGCCTAGTTTTGCTGGTATCTATCTGTTTATATGTACAGCATTTTTAATTTTGGGGGGAAATGTCAGCTGCTATACATTTTTGCAGTGAAGTCAATCATTTGTTAAAAAGTTCCACCTCCTTGCGTTGCTAGGGAAAGAATATATTTTCTTCGTTTCTACCACAAAACCGCGGTAGACAAAAGTGCGGTCGACGAAAGCGCGTATGTGACGTCATCACAGCGCGACGAAAAAGATCGAAAAATGTAAAAATAAAGCAAAACCCTTGCCCTAACCCCCCAAACCTAGCCCCCCAAACCTAACCCTAAACCTACCCCTAAACCTAACCCTA